CTATTGAAATGTTGCAATTTAGTCTTCATACTTTGGATTTTCTTCCTTTTTTGTTCTTTTTCGTTTCTTTTCCCTTCAATTCCACCACATTCATCAATATAGTCCTACAAAATATAATTACATAGAATTAAATCATAATTCAAACCCTTTGATCATAATTAAATCATGTTTTTGAACTAAATAAGTGTGTAAATACACACTTATCTGTAGTCTTACATGTTTGATACAATGGAATTGACATTATTTAACACGAGAAAAAATAAAAAAATTTGAAATATTTTGTTAATACTATAGCACTCTACTGCCATCCAATACTACAAATCAATATACTTGTATCTAATACCATGCTCTATTTCGATGAATTCACTTCAATAATGTTACAAATTTCACACAATGCAATTAAAAATAAATAAATAAATTCAAATTGCTATTTTAAATAGCAATTGGTCATTAAACAGAAAATTAAAGCAAAAAGAATTATATTTAAAACAAAGCACTCATCTTTATAACAAATCAAAAGGTCACTATCAATTGCACAACACAGTGTGAATCGTAACAGTCTAAACGAAAATTACATAGCAAAGTAACAAGCAGTAATAATTAGAATAAGAAAAATACTGTATAAGGAACATAAATATTCAAATATACATAGAAGAAACTAAAAGTGAGTACACAAGGGACTACACGTGTTGCAAGACAGGGTTTCAATGCGAAAAAAGTCGCATGGCCTAGGCAAAATCGAACAGCAGCTTCACAGCTTCAAGCAACGTTTAGTCCACGGGCAAATGACAAACTTACTCAACAGCGAAAAATGTAAATATAACGACAGCAAGAACTAAGAGACGCCTTGAAAGGACAATCGGTCTCTTATTGTATCAAAAATTGACGAAGCTGCTGCATTTTGTGCAAAAGTTAATTTCAGTCGCCCAAGCAGTTCACCATCCTTCGCTTGAGATGCAGCATCTGCAGCTTCTTTGGCCATTCCAATTCTAGCATATGCCTGTTCGTGAATTACAGCATGGACAGTTAGCAATTTGCACAAGAAATACCTATTTTCCTTGCCCAAAAAACACTATCTAAAACTTGCATGCAGATTCAACAATCAATTCTACCTCGGCTCTCTCTCTGGGATCAGCAAGTTTTGGTATATATTTAAGAGCTTCACCTTTCTCATCTGCATCAACACATGCCTCCACAAATGGCCGGTAACCTACAGATGACAGCGCTTAAAGTGAAAAGGCGAAAACAAAGAAGTTTTAACCTCATCAATTTTGCATCCAGTGGCGAAGTTCAAAAGTTTTTAGGAAATATGTCCAAGGAATGGCTCATTTCTCACAAGAAAAAATACCATGTTGTCTAGGAGGGAGTTCATCTTTTTTTTTTTTTTTTTTTTTTTTTTGTTTTTTTTTCC